TCTGTGTGAATTTTAAGTCAAATAAATTCCTTTTGAATGAAGTTTGTCAGTTCTAAATTTCATCTTTCAAGAACAACATTTGCGCGAGATATTTAGAAAAAAAGTTGTAAAGTTGTTTTTTTGGTGATCACCCTGTATATAATAGAGATGTGTCTGCCTGGGCCGCACCAAGTCCCTCCCCCACACACGCACACACACACACGCGCACACACACGCGCACCCCCCCCCAAAAAAAAAAAAAAACTACAGAAAAAAACACAAAAAACCTACAACAAACATTTCAAGTTTTCAAAAATACACCTGATTTATCTTTTCAATCCTTTTTTCGGGTAGCAGCTCAAAACTTGTTAAGCTCTTCATAACGTAGGTTTCTCTATAATTATATATTTACTTCTTGCTGCCAGAGACCCAGTAGCTTTTTTTTTTTGTTTGTTTAAATTTAGTTCAGCGACATTTGGCTTGAGGGAGGATTAAGCTAGTGCAAACATCGGTATAAGGCTTGATATCACATTCATCAGTAAGTTTGAAGACGTACTTTGACGTATTATAGTTCATAGTGGAAATGAGCTTTTCACACATATAATGTGTTGCCCCCCCCCTCTCTCTCCCTCATTAAAAACTACAACAGCAACAACAACAACAATACCCCCACCCCCCCAACCCCCCCTCCCCCCCAAAAAAACCCCACACAGCAAACAACAACTCCAAAACAGTAACAACAAACAAACAAACACACACACACGCACACACACACACACACACACACACACACACACACACACACACACACAAGAACTACATAACCAACGGACTAACATACCAACCAACCAACCAACCAACCAACCAACAAACCAAACAGACCAACAAACAAACAAACAAAACAGGCAAATGGTCCGTTTGGGAAGAAAAAAATGACAAAGTCAATTTTTAAAATATTGATTTCAAGACCGGGGCCTTAAAATAATAATTATTATCGTCCTGCTGGCCTCAATCATATCTTGGGCCGCGAATTTTTAGACCTCTGTTATAGAAGTATGTGGTAAAACAGTCTCATTTATATCATTAGGATTTCGGCTGTATCGATTCCGATCTCTTATAATGTAACTAGATTTAAAACAATTAACAGGCATTCGGACAGACATGCTAGTCAATAACAGCGGCCAAACCATCAATATGATTATAATCCTAAAACAAACAAACTTTGAAGCAGGAAAAAAAGCAAATAAAGTTAACAAAGCAAAACAACGTAATTGCGTCTATGTAACATTGGGCGCACTTTGGTGTTGATGCAAATTAAATCGCAGGGACAAAGCGTGACCTTGGTCAAGAACGTCGTCACACGGTCTACTAGTTGGGTGGCGAGACCTGTTTCGGGGAATAAATGAATGAACGAATGAAAACTATGTATTATGGCCGCTACCGCAGATCTATGCAGCGTGCTCATTCTCCTAACGTGGTATCTATTCGATTACGAATAGATGTAAAGCGCATAGAACATACTGCAGGAATCTGAAGAGAATGTACCATTTAAATGCAACTATTAGATATATACATGTACATGTATTACCATGCATATCAAGTTATGTCTTGTCAACTTCTATGAGATTTAAAAAAAAAAAAAGATTAAGCGATGAGGAAGGAAATATCTCATGAATAGAAAGTAGCAGTAACTGATAAATGGGTAGTGCGTAATAATAATATTATAAAGTGAAATAAAAGTGGTCCCATTGGTTTATTATTAGTTACTGTGTAAGTGCAAGTAAACTCGATCGTGGCGCTCATATGACCTTATGCAGTTGCGATCGCTGTAAAAACTTTACTTGAAAAAAAGAAGAAAAAAATGTCGATCCCTGTCTAGCAGCATGATATTTGGCTTTAACAGGGGCCACAACAAAGATTCTTAGTAGAGACAACGGTAGAGATTCTTTGGCATCACGCGTCAGTCCAGCGGCGGTCCTGTTATAGCCAGCGTCCACTATATGTACATGTAATATTACATGATTTTACCGATGCCATTTTACAACTTGTTCACGTTCGTTTATTCGCGTTAAAGTAATGATTGTAGATCAATCGACAATTGAGAATTCAACGATACGCACGTAACCTTGCATGGCACACTCATGTAGGCCAGCGACCAAACAAAAGTAGGCCAACATGACGTGTAGCCTACGGTACTTAAATAAACCAATGTTTGTCATTTAGTAATAAAAACTTTTGTTTTGTCATTTAAAAAAAATAATTGGGCCATACAGCAAACGCTGCCCTTTTGGTGCAAACAAACAAACGCTACACTAAATGAATTCGACAAAGATCGTACATTTTGATTTAGAGTAACTTAGATTAAAAATACAAAAATCACCCGATTTGAGCTCCTTGGCAGGCCCCCTTTATCCCCCCCCCCCCCCCCCGATTGGTCAAAAGCACAAAAATAACAGCGCGGTTAGGCACAGTGTGATATAGCTCCATTAAGGACAATCAAACAATTAAAAAACTGTTGATTTGCGACGGAAAGAAGTTGATATTCGCGTTCAGCGCATCAATATTTAGTAGAGAATGGAGGACAGGTAGTTAAGTGTGAGACGAGAGGAAAAGTAAGAGTAAGCCGAAAAAAAAAAGAATATAGAGGGAAATGACCGGGGGGAGAATGAGGTTTTGGTTTGTTCCGACCAGGGGCGGCTCGTCCATAGAGCCCGGCCGTGCACTGCCGCCCAAAAATTTTAATGCGCCCAACACCCACAAAGAGGCAATAAAAGAACCTTTACCTTCCACCATCCAATTAGTTTTTCGTACAAGTTCCTCGCCAGAGCCTATTCGTCCACTACAACATCTACAACAGCTCTACAACATCTACTATACCGTATCAAATCCTTGTGCTTCACCCAAGTAAAAAAATAGCATGTTCAGTAGTGGTGTAATATATGTCGGAAAAAGCTCTATGGGCCGACCCAAACAACGATGACGTTTTGACCGAGTTTCTTAGTTCATAAATATTAATAAGGCGGCACAATCTCAATGTGCACCAGCCGAGCAAAGCCCATAGAGGCAGTTTAAAAATAACGCCATCTCAGACTAGTTCACGATACATTACACAATTCAATGCCCGTATTATGAGAGCTGTGGAGCAATCCGCCGGAGTGCTCTCAGCGATGTGCGATTGGTCCATTGTCTTGCCCTTTCTAGCCCCACCTCTGTAACCTTGAACTTGAGCGAGGTCAACGTGACGTAATTAGGTCACTGTGTTAGAAGTTGGAATGGTGTTACGCAGTGGTGACAGTTTTATTACTCAAGGGTGTATTCCAATGCAGGATGAATGAAGTTGATTGCAAATGAATTCAGTTCACCAAACAAAGTAACAAAGAGAGTGAAAAAATTAGATCCCCAACAACCAAAAGATATCAAAATAATACAACCAACAAAAAGTGGAGTGGCTTACAGTCAGCGTTAGCAATAAATACTCATTGTAGGCCTGCTGTTTCTCCTGTCTGCTTTTTTAAACTGAAGACCCCAAGTAATAGTCTAAGACAGGTTTTACTGATACTGATCTTGTTCATGTGAAACAACGCATTAAAGTCAGGGGTCATCAAGAGCGCACGTAAACAATGCCGTTAAGTATCATGCTTTCGGACAAGTAGACATAGCAGCGCAGCTAGTCGTTGGTTATTGCATTGCAACGTCTCACAATAACGAACTAGGCTAGTGAGAAAGAACAGGCACGTATTGGGTAAGGTTATCGAGTGTATTTTGTTCTGTGAAACTCACCAACTTGCCCTTCTCGGTCATGAAAAGGGTGATTTGTCGGGGAATAGGAGTATTTTTCGCTAACGCTATGCAGGCTCTTCGACATTTTTTGTCCACTCTACAAAATGCATCTGCGTTCTCAGACGCGTTTGTCACCGGAATATTCAATGGCCGTCAAAAACAAAGTGGAATTTGCAGTCTCGACTAATTAACACAGTCTTCATTTGGAAAGGAGAGACCGAGCTTTGTCTTGCAGAAATTCAGTCTGAGCAGTGGGACGATAATTCCATCCACGATGGTATCCTGAATGTATTAAAGAGCGAAACAATTCTCATCTTTTTGCACTTTTTCAACTAAGTGTTCACGCACGTTGCCGCTGTTCATGGGATCCTCTAACACAGAAGTACACCGCTCATAGCAACCTAACAAGCTCTAGGCACGTTTATATTAGCCGTCGATGAAATTAGAAACAGTATATTTGTTCTATCAACAAAACAGACCTCAGAAAAACACGCTTCCAAGAGACGCAGACATTACAACACCAACAAAATTGCTGCAAAGCAAACCTGTGACATAATAGTTTCTCAAATTGTAGACAATTTCTTGAAGCAAAATAAATTCAACGCACTGTCAATGTTTGACTCCTCCAAATTCAAGGACTATCAAAAGTTGTTTCCTACAGTTCTTTTAGGATCGTTTACAGAAATATTACTGTTTTGCTTAAAATCAAGTTACAGACAGAATTATAAGTATTACATGGCAATGAAATATATTTAAGTCTGCTCAAGGTCGTACAATCCAGGGCCTTTATTCAACTCTGAAGGACTGCACACTCAATACAACATTTAGAGAAGTATGAAAAATCCTAGAAATCGCACTGACGTTTATGTCGATCCACAAGGACATCATTAATAGCATGCCCAACAGAAAAATGGACACTTTTTCCTCAGCAAGCGAACGAAAGGAAGACTTTGTCTTCAAATATATTTTCTCAAAACAGGTAGGGTGAAGAAAACATCTAATTTACCATACCCTTGACTATCTTCAACCTGCTTTAACCTAATTGTGCACGCCCACTTTTAAGACCCACGAGCCACCCCTGGTTCCGACTCAACTTAATAAATGAATCTGTCTTATATTGTTACACAATACTATTAATATTATAAAAGAACTATAAGAACAAAATTTAATACACACAAGGAGCTTAGAACTTTTAATCTCCTTGAATACACATAATACATTTTACTTGCACGGAATCTTAGCAAAATAGGGAAAGATAACTCTCATCTACTTTCGGTTTTGTCTATTGTACATGGCTTCTTCCCACATGTTGACAATCGTATGACGAAGTTGAAATGAAGGTAATAATTTATCTTAGTGATGGCTCTTGTGTAGTAAAATTTGTTGTTGCTTTGTTTGGTTTATTTTTTAACTGCAGAATCTTAAGTGAACCGGAATGATTGATTGTGGGATCTTAGGTGAAGACTACAAAGTGTGCTAGATCTACAGGCCACAGGTGATGTACTTAACTTACACTTTAGCCCCCTTCCAAAAAGTAAGCAAAACAAACGAGCTCTAGATCTAGATATCTAGATCTAGATATAGAATCTAGATCTACATCTACATCAATGCTCTTCGTTGGTGACAAGCTTTGTGTGTGTACAGTTGTTTCTCTAACTTGTTCTCTCGTCGATCGGTGTGACTGGTGATCGTCATCTTGGTTTGTCCGCGTTCTAACAAATTCTAGCTTAGATCAAGGCCACCTCTATTCTCACCCGGAGTGAGAATAGTGCAGGCGAGTCTTGTGGCTATTCTCACCCGGTGCGCGTTTACCAAATTTTGCGTTCACCCTAAACCACAGAATTCTACACTGTGATAACAGAAAAATTGTAGAATTCTGTGCCGTGAACAAACGTTCCATTACAACTGTAGCCTACTAAAAGCGTACAATTTTGTCTGTGGGCAGTGGAGAGAGAGAGAGAAAGAGAGAGAGGAGTAGCGCGAGAATTTCCGGGCAAAACAAAATGGCGACCCGCGTAGTTCGGCTCGATTCGAAAAGTTAAATAGCCGTAGCATCTTTGTAGACAACCAAATTAATTTACTTTTGTGTTTTAACATCATTATTTAACTTTGTTTTGGTCAATTTGATCGTCCACACCGATAGACAGTATTCAGAAAGAGACAGAGAGAGAGAAGAGGGGAGGAGTTGATCTTGCGAGAACTTCCGGGCGGGTGAGAATAGTCACTTCCTTATACTTATATATTAATGGCATAATCCGGTTTTGGCCCCAAGAGTACTCAAATATCGATACTGACTTTAATACTCGGTATCGATGTTTTATTCGGGAGAGAGCGAGAGGTGACTGTCTGCAGTTCTTTCGCTCGCACAAGGTCGCTAGGCGATCGATAACGAATGCGGCGCTGCGCTGTCTGCAGCAAGTGGGGCCAAACCCGGATTGGGGAACTGGAAGTGGAAGAGAGAGAGAGGCGAATGCGGCGCTGTCTGCTATTTTTCAGTTTCAGTGGGGCCTAGAAAGATCTACAAACAGCAGAGTGTGATTGATTGAATTTGAATTGGGGCTAAACTTGGAGTAGCGGACGGAGCAAGGGGGCAAACGTGAACGAACTAATAGATCTAGTAATAGCAATTGAATTGGGGCTGTACCAGGAGTAATGATGAATGTCAGAATTGGGGGGGTTTCAGAGGGCTTGCCCCCTGTTAATAATTGTTTTCCATTTTATGTAGATCTAAACGTAAAAAAGACCTTCGTTTGCTGATACGTAAATCTGAAATCTTTTTTTTTTTTTTAGTTTAGATCTAACAAACTTACCTCTATTGGAAGTAGGCACTTTTCTAAAAAATTCAAATTGATTAAATAAAACAAAAAGACACACCAATGGATAGAGTCACTGACACTGATTATTATGCTGGAGTGTCTACGTACACGGTAACCGGGCACGTATCCTCAGGGTCTACGTACACGGTAACCGGGCATGTAGCCTCAGGGTCTACGTACACGGTAACCGGGCACGTACGGTAGCCTCAGTGTCTACATACATAACCGGCAACCGGGCGCCTCTCATTATCTACGAACACGGTAAGCGGGCATTTAGTTTCGTGGGGGAGGGGCTTCAGCTAGGTGCACGGTAACTGCTTTGCTCCCTTCTTGACGTTGACATTCATTTTTCCTTTTTCACCGTGTAGTCTCAATGTCGCATACACGGTGACCGTGCTCGTAACCTCAATATCTACGTACACGGTAACCGTGTACTTAGTTTCGGGGGGGAGGGGGGTGCGGAAGGGGGCTTGAGCTAGGTGCACGCACGGTAACTGCTTCGCTCCCTTTACGACGTTGACTTTTTTCCTTTTTTTCACCGTGTAGTCTCAGTGTCACACACACGGTAACCGGGCACGTAGCCTCAATATCTACGTACACGGTAACCGGTAACCGGGCGCCTCTCATTATCTACGAACACGGTAACCGGGTATTTTGTTTCGGGGGGGGCCTTGAGCTAGGTGCACGGTAACTGCGTCGCGACCTTGACCTTTTTCCTTTTTCACTCCGCTTTTTGTGTGTTGTGAGCGGAATGTAAATAAAAAAAATGACCCCAATCTACCACCTGTCATCTTTCCTAAGAGAGAGCAAAATGAAGTGACACTGAAAAATCTGCGAATGTGGAACAGAAAGCTAAAATATAGATGTTTACAAAACATGTAATGCTATCACGAGAGAGAGAGAACGAGACTCAGAAAACAGAGAGAGAGAGGAAGGGAGAGAGAGAATTAAAAACGTATGCTCTTGATGAGGTCATACCTCTCTTAAAACAAAGGACAATGGAACAAGGGGATCCTTGACTATCACCCATCCAATGAAACGCGGACCTTTTGGTTAAAAAACGCGGCTTACTAGGTATAAGTATGACGGATCCCAATCCGTACAGGGCTGGCACCAATGCACGCTTTTCCGTAGCACAAAGCTCTAGTAATAATAAAAATTCTAAATACTAAAAGTCAGGGTTGGGTTGATTTAAATCAAGTTGATTTAAATCAGTTGATTTTTTTGATTTAAATCAACTTGATTTTTTAAATAAAAATCAGTGATTTAAATCACTTAAAATTTTTTAAATTTTTATTCAGTTTTTACACATTTCTACATTCAGAATTCCTTTCCTTGGTTTCATAAAACAGATATAAGGTTTAGTAGACTAATATAATCATGCTTAAAAGTCTGCTTTCCCCCCTTTCACTGTAAAATAATACAGTATTCAATTTACTTTTTTTTCCATAATTGAAATCAGAGCTGGGTTGATTTAAATCAGTTGATTTTTTAAATTTAAATCAACTTGATATTTATAATAAAAATCAATGATTTAAATCACTTTTCAAAAAAATGTATTCAGTTTTTACATATTTAAACATTCAGAACTCCTTTCCTTGGTTTTATTAAACGTTGTAAGGTTTAGTAGACTAATATAATCATGCTTAAAAGTCTTCTTTCCCCCCAGTCACTGTAAAATAATACAATTCTCAATTTACTTTTTTTCATAATTGAAAACCAGGGTTGGGTTGATTTAAATCAGGTTGATTTAAATCAGTTGATTTTTTAAATTAACTTGATTTTAAAAATAGAACTCAGTGATTTAAATCACTTTTAAAAAATGTATTCTGTTTTTACATCTTTAAACATTCAGAATTCCTTTCCTTGGTTTTATAAAACAGATACAAGGTTTAGTAGACTAAAATAATCATGCTTAAAAGTCTGCTTTCCCCCCTGTCACTGTAAGTAGTAAAATAATATTGTATTCAATTTACTTTTTTTTCATAATTGAAATTAGCAATATCTTTTTCTTTTTAGACAAACACAGGCGTGCGTACACACACACACTGTAATGAAATGCAAGTTTATCTATGCATAATTACCCCCCCCCCCCCCTTCCTTTTAGACTGACATTTTCTTCATTTTTTGTTTGCAGCCATAACTCACTGATATAGCCGATTAAGGCTTTCTAAAATTGCAGTTGCTTAAATTAATCATTAGTTAAAATAAGAACTTACTTTTAGCCTCCAAAAATCCCAAACTGTGTCGACATTAAAAAAAAAAAAAAAAAAAAATAAAAAATCCGATTTAAATTTGAAAAAATCTGATTTAAATTTAAAAAATCTATTTTTTAAATTTTTATTTAAAAAAACAAAAAAATCACCAACCTTGTGTGTAACATGCTAAGTATTAAATATATTTAGAGGCTATTCACACGTGTAGATGCATGATGTGCGTGTGTGTGTGTGTTTGTGTGTGTGTGTATCTCCCTCTCTCTCTCTCTCTGTCTGTCTGTCTCTCTCTCTCTCTCTCTCTGTCTGTCTGTCTCTCTCTCTCTCTCTCTCTCTCTCTCTCTCTCTCTCTCTCTCTCTCTCTATCTCTCTCTCTCTATACTGAAACTTACTTTGGGGTTGTTCCTGTGTTTTCTCTTCAAAGCTTGAGTGAGTTTTAAATTATCAGTATTCAACTCATTCTCAGGGCGAAAAGAAAGAGATGTCTACCAAAGTTCCAACAGAATCTTCAAAGAAAAAGAGGAAGAGAGACCTGCTACAGGATGATGAGTCTAACACTCAGGAAGAAATCTCTCTCTTTTCTACAGTGAGTACTTTACCTTCTACATGTCCGTTCTTGAAATTATGTCTTGAAAGTAAGAAGACTCAATTCCTTTGACACATTAGCAGAGGGTTTGTCTGACAAGACATTGTTTGAGATGAATTTAATGTGTTCAGCAATTTTGGGGGAAATGTGTACCAAAGTACACCCATTTTATTAGAAATAAGAATGTCAGTTTATCTTTCAGCTTAAGCTACAAGTAAAAAAGAAAGAGATAGAACTATGATTAACTCGCTCAATCCCGGAGGTTTTTCCCGAAAATGTACCTAGAAAAACAGTCATTTTTACACTTATTTAAGAGCCCTCTAGTGACCATAAATATTACCCAGTATGGAACTTTAGACATACCAAATTTGAAGCATGTAGCTTTAGCAGTTTTGCTTTGGAGTGTTGTACAAACTTGGCATTATTAGGGGCTTTTTTTCTTGGCGGAATGAGCAAGAGCAAGCCTACATTGATATTCAAATGTGCTTGTGAGTTTCTAGATCTATATATTGTATGCCATGTATAATAAAGACTGTTAAATACTTTCATGAATAAAAAAAATGTATGTGTGAAAAAGGCAGAGAGGATCACCCTGGAATCCTTACTATCGTCATTTCCCTCTACTTGTTTTGTATGTTTGTCACACTCTTGGGACCTGCTTTTTCCGGGGTGCCTTGATAGTCGAAGCAGACTTTGTGCTGTTGAAGCTAGAGAGGTGAGAGGAGTAAGTCTGATTCCCTGTAAGGACTTTTCTGTTGACATCCACCCCTTGGTGCTCATATAACCATATGCAGTTGTGAGCGCTGAAAAACCTCTACTAAAACAAACAAACAAGAGAGAATCGATTGCGACACATGCTCAGTTGATCAGTGTGAATAAAACGTGCTGAAAGTGCCTTCATAAAAACCGCAATTTCTCAGTGTGTAATGACAGTAGAAACAAAATTCCAGCTACCCTGTAGGCAGAATTGGCCGCGGAAATAATAAATTGACCTTGCATAAAACTTGGGGCCGTTTTCCGAAACAAAATAACTAGTCTACGGAACAAAACTATAGAACTGAGTTATCTCTGTCGCGGGATTGAACGCCGCCCACGAGCTGACCGAGATATCTCGGTCGCGGGATTGAGTGAGTTAAAGGTGACTCGGTCTGCTCTGTGGGTCTGTGTTACCCTTGCATGATATGATTATTTGCGTTTTGTTCAGTCTGTCTGTAAAAACAATAAAAGTGATCATTTTCATCACTTACGAGTATATTATTGTATATAGGAATCTATATATATATTTTTTTTCTTTTCAGGTTAACAAAGACGATGAAAAAGAAACAGACAATGTAGCCGCAAGTTCTGAAGAAAATGACAGTAATGCAGACAGTGATAATAGTGACAATGATGAAGATTCAGATGGAGATGAAAGCAGCAGCCAAGATGAGGAATATTTTGAAGAAAGTTCTGAGGAGGACAGTGATGACAGTGGTCTTGACGAGGGAACAAGTCAAGAGTTTGGAAATTCTGAAGAGAATGGGAGCAACAGTGCCTCTGGAAAGACAGATGAATACGAGTATGATTCATCAGATGAAGAGGTTTGTATGATAACTTGGGGGGGAAATGTTTTATGGTTTAAAAAAAAAATATTTCAGAAACTTTTTATGTGTGGGTAAAATAAAATGTTACATATTACAATATATTTTGGTGCTAAGGGGATGTGAAATTTGATAATTGTGGTAGATTTCGTTCTTTTTTTTTTGTGGTGAGTTCTCAAAACTTTGTTTTACATGCTTCTTAAAAATTATGGTTTGGTTTTTACATTTTGTATTGATTTTCCTTGAATTTTGAATTAATTTGTCCATTATTTAGCTTTAATGACAGGGTTATAGACAAGTGGTGAATAAGGATATATTATTGAATAGTTCAAAGTTCGCAGGGTAGAATTTCTGTGTTGGTGTGATATTATGTGATGTGATATGTTGGTGAAATATCTGTGGCATAGTTAACCAGACTTCCTGGCTTGGAGGGTCAATGAACAATGAATTCATATTTTTATTATATTGTCTTTTAACAAATTTATTTGTAAATTGTTTCCCCCCCCCCAGGATGTGAGGAACACGATAGGAAACATTCCTGTGCAGTGGTATGATGATTATCCACACATCGGCTATGACGTTCAGGGGAGGAAACTCATCAAGCCGGTCCAGGGGGACGCACTGGATGAGTTTCTGGAGAAAGCTGATGATCCGGACTATTGGTAAGGAAGGTTTTTACTTTACTGGATTAAAAAAAGAAATCTTGGACCTGATTATTTTTAAGTGTGTTTTTTTGGTGTGCACTTATTTTTTTAATTGTTGGTAGTTTATTGGTTGTCATTTTTTGTGTGTTGTAATTCGTATTTGGGTTGGGGGGGGGGGGGGGGGGGGGTGTGACATGTTGATTCTATGCGCTGTATGTATGTTTTGTGTTGCAGAAGCTGGTGAAAGCACACTGTCGATTTCTTCCAATGGAGAATCAATGAAGTTTGTCTTTTCTTTTCTTTAAGGCGCACGGTAAAGAACAAACTGACTGGCCAGAAGGTTCGACTCAGTGAGGAGGATGTGAAGCAGATCAACAGAATCCAGTCGTCGACTCATCCCATGGGGTCTGAGGGCCTCTACGAGGTGAGTGCTCGATCGACATGAGAAACTTTTATTTTCTATTTTCAACTTTCTGATATGAGGATGCTGTCGACAGAAGTTGAAGATAGAGTAGGGATTTTGGAGTCTAGAATGACAATTTATGAGAGCTTGAAGCAAACTTGTCTCTGTTCTATAACTGCAGAGGATATTGTTTGTTCTCTGTTGGTCTGTGTAGTTTTGTCCTGGATGACGGTATATGAGGGAAATTGAACTCTTCTGGAATTATTTCAGGATGAGATTTGTCTTTTACAGCAAAGTTTACAGCATGCACAGGAATTTGATATGTGTGTGTGTGCTGAAATTTGAAATTGAGATACTGATAAAGAGAGGAATATTATGCGGTCACTCAGGCTTTGATAGAAGTCTGAATCAGTGTTAGCTCGTTGCATCTGTAGGATTTGCCCATTATTATGGAATTAATTAACTTAGAAGCGCTTTTTACAATGCAAGAGAGTAGCTTATTCAAACCGACCAGGCAGCCATGTGAATGAGTTACTATTCATACATACTGAACTTGACTCTTTTTTTGTAATCAGTGATAATACTGTCAAATCTTCTCTTATGACCACCTGTACAAATGATGACTCCTCATTCCCCCCTCATACTCTCCTTCTCCCCCCCCCTGCATTTTTTTCTTCTATATTTCTATGACACTGTCCAAGAGGGCCACCTGTCTCAGATAACCATTCTTCATTTTGTCAGTGGATGGTCATCTTGGACAGGTTTGATTATATTTCTATGTACCGAACCTGACACTTTTTGATGTGTACATTTGGTAGCTGGGTACCTATTCGTCTTACACCATTTGATGCATATATTATGTGAAATGACTGTACTTACCCCACTTTTCTTGTCTTCAGCCGTGGGTTGACACTTTTACAAGCGAGGTGATGGAGATGCCAGTGACCGGCCGACCCCCAGACAAGCGAAGCTTCATCCCGTCCTTGTGGGAGAAGCAAAGGGTCAGTGAGATTCATTGTCTCTTTGTCTTTGTCCATGTTAGGAAAACAACCTTTCAAGAAGGTGGCCCCCCCCCCCCCCCCCATACCCGTGGACTAATATTTAATATTATGAAGACTATCTTTCAAGGTTAGTTTGGTGAAATGAAAAATATGCAGACCAAAAGCTTCTCTCATTGGCAATATCACTGAATACAGCCCCATGAAAATCCATGAAATGAGTAGGGCTGGTCCTAATGAGGAGGCTGTTGAAGCACTTACAATCATTTTGACTATTTAAGTCTCAGACTGCTGGAGGTGGGTGATTGGCGGGTGCTCTGGTGGGGTTTGCTTCTTCTTTCCTATCAAACACCTATAGTCCTTATCTCACCTCCTTTTTTATGTTTGTTACTCTCTTGTAACACCTCTAATCTTCTGGCGCTCATATAACCTTATACAGTTGGGAGCACAGTAAAAAGCTCTACTAAAACTAAAACTAAAGACTGCTGGAAGGGGTGAAAATATTCAGTTGTAATGTGAAGGGAACACTGCTGTGTATCTTGGGAATTGTGCAGCACCAACATACTGAGTCGTCCATTTGAATCATAAATGAAGTGGTTAACTGCTGAATATTGTGTGACGCTGATCGGTGTGGAGTCCAGTGACTTGGTAGTTAGTGTCTTTGGAGTTGCATGGTATACAAATGTGTTTGTTTTCTCTTATTTTGTCGTTGTAGGTTGGTCAAATGGTTCATGCGCTGAAGATGGGTTGGATGAAGCCACGAGGGGAGATCAGGAAGATGAAGCAAAACCGGGACCTAAATGAACCGTCTCTAGACATGTGGAAGGAGGACAATGAGGTGAGATGATGATGATTTCATTCACTCGAAAAAAGATTTGGGTTTCATTCTGTAACACAGAAACTGGATGGATATAGAGTTTTGGCATTTTGCCTTGTTTCGTAAACAAACATTTCCAAAAGTTTCCTTGCTTTTAACACTTTTTCAATATTATATTCTTTTCTCTGCCCCATGCTTATAAAGAGAACATAGTCGGTGTTGCATGCTATCCACTTAACTCCATTTGGGTACTTTTAACACTAGAGACAAAAAACTAGTTTTTGTTATGTTGTTCCTATCAGGAATCATGAAAAATTTGAAAACTGTAAACCTTAACCATTGCATTAACCTGCATTTTGATAATGCTGAAAGGTGCATCTTTGATAGAGCTTTGGGAAAGTGTAAAAATGGAAAATTCTTTAAATGTGTCATGACTTGGTCGAATCAGGTGCTCATCAATTTTGGGACATATGGAGTTTTTGGTATCATCTTAATGCCTGTCCCTTTACCTTGTTTTTATGAAAAAATATCCATTTATGTTAGATACAAATCAAGATATTGGCAATTGAAGGAGATGGGGGTCGCATAGGTTCAGAGGTAAAATTAGCAAGAAAATGGCCACCAAAGTTGAGTTATTTACTCAGCCTGAGAGTCTGTGGAAACTGAAAATTTACATATTTTTCTCCTTTTAATCAATGTTTTTCAGTAAAATCCACATAGAAATGTGTTCTTTAATGGACATAAAAGGTGTTGAGCCAAAAAACAAAATATTTGATAAAAAATCCCAAACCTGCCCCCAAAAATGCCAATTTCTTAACTTTCATTATTTGGACAAAGAACCTGATTTCACCACCCTGCCTCACTAATTTGAACTTAAATGAATTGCTTGTGACAGGGACGATGTACAAATATTGATGTAACATGTTTGTGACTGCAGTTTCCCCACGGTGTGGCACTCAGTGCCTGGAGTTGCCATGATAATTTGCAGAAATCAACAATTGTGAAACAAATTCTGCTATAATTTTGGTATTGGCTCTTCTTCCATAGGTCAAAATCAAAAGTTAAATGTCTGAAGTAGAGCTAGGCTTTTCCTCATTCTTACATTAATTAATTTACTGTGCAAGCTGAGGTGTTGGTCGTTTTGTGTAGACACTGTCTATCACTTTGGTTTTGTGTATGCTGAAAGATGTTGCCTGTCACCAATGCGTTGATATTTTATAAAAAAAAAATTCTGTGTGCGTTGTCAGCCTGAGATCACTAAGCGGTACAGAATGCACATCCCAGCACCGAAAGAACCGCTGCCCGGACACATGGAGTCGTTCAACCCACCCGAGGAGTATCTGCTGGATGAGGAAGAGGTGAGGGCAAAGTAGAATATGACTATGTCTAATTATCAGGCTTTTGTGGTCTTGAATCATTCGTTTAAACTTAAAGCAGCTGTGTTAATGGTTGTTGTCTTTGCCATTGCACGCAGAAGGCATGAGTTTGATTCCTGCAGAAGTAATGCCATAGAGTGTCTCTACTTGTCTGTTTGTCTGCTGGGATGCTGCGTCCCATTCAGCCTGTGTTGGTCTGGATCACAATTGTATGTTCAAAAGTATAGAATATTTGCTATTAATCAATCAGAGGTATATACAATAGAGTCTGCTTAAACCGAAATCTTGGAAGCCCGCCAGGTTTTCTTTGGTTTAGCCAGGTTTTCGGTTTATAGAGGTTCTCAAATAGAAGAAAAACATTACATTTTTTTCTTTTATTTTGGTTTATTTCTGTAACTTTTTCTTTTTCTTTTGTGAAATAGGAAGCAAAATGGGACAGTCAGGAGCCAGAAGATCGCCGTTTTGACTTCAAACCACAGAAGTTTGAGTCGTACCGGTCAGTGCCCAAGTATAGCAGATTCATCAATGAGAGATTTTCTCGTCTGTTAGATCTGTATCTGGCTTCGAGACAGAGGAAGATGAAGGTGGGTGATGTTCTAAACAGGCGTTGTTCTGTGAGTTTGTGAGAGACTCTGCTTGTATTTGTTCACAAAGATTTAGTCTAAGATAAGATAAGGTATATTTTATTGATCCTACATTAGGAGAAACTGACAGTGTGCTTTTGCAATCTTCTGCAACATAAACTATATATACATAGCATCATCTTAACACATCATATTCTCCCTCTGTAGACTCTGTCTCACTCAAACAATGCTTATTCCCTCCCTCTCTGCCTCGCTACTTTCACATAATATGGTAATTTCATGGACAAACACTAGGCATATGCATGTTTTGAAATATGAAAGTGAACAGCTTTTTTGAGTGAAAGTTACAATGTTCGTCTGCAGTTTGTTCAGGAATACTTGTGTAATTATACCAAATTGTGGTAAGCAGGTAGATGTGTGTGTGTGTTTGGCATGCATGTGTGTGCACATGTGTGCGTGTAATGTGTGTGTGAGTGTGTGTGTGTGTGTGTGTGTGTGTTGAGTGCGTGAATATTGTTCGTACATGCATTTATGTAAAGCGCCTAGAGCTGTGTTTACATGGGAGTGGGCGCTATAGAAATGATCTTCATTATTATTATTATTTTTTAAAATTATTTTCACATTTGGATTACTTCGTTTTGATTTGTGATTGCTCATGCTTTACCTCTGGAAGATGTTCCAGTCTCTTCTAGGATAGCAATATTTTGGTCGTAAGTCACAGAATTATTATAAAAAATCAAAAAAAAATCAGGGGCATCCCTGGTTTTGTTTAGTTTACATCCTATCATTAGGCAGGTGGTTGGAGGGTGTTACTGCTTATTGAAATACTTTGCTACTCCTTTGTTTTTGTCTGTCCACTTTTCTTGCCTTTTCTCCTTATTATTATTATTATCATTTTTATTTTTGTCGTTTATATTATTATTACCATTATAATTATTTTTATCATTGTTATTGTTATCATTGTTAATATTTTTGTTATTATTATTATTGTTATGACATTGTGTGCTGCAGATGAATGTGAACCCTGAAGACTTGATTCCCAAAAGACCCGACAAGAAAGATCTACAACCTTATCCTACAAAAGAGGCTATGGTGAGTTCTTTGGTGTGCTGCTCTGCATGATGTGGTCAACGTGTATGTGGTCCTTGTTGTGCGCGACTTATTTACAGGGTCCCCACCAGATCGGGAAAAAGTCGGGAATTTTGAGATGGGTCGGGAGATCGGGAAAAAGTCAGGAATTTTGTTATGGGTCGGTAAGTCGGGAAAGGATAGGGCCTGTGTAATATTAGTAGTGTAGCTATCGAGACAGTATGGTTGATGGATCATGAAGAGGAAACGTAATTGAACCACTATGGCGGCAGGTGGAAGTGTATGTATGACACCGAGGCTCGATTGGGAAGAATCAAGATCTACTTTCGGTTTCGTTACCACCCAGAAATTTTCCTGTAATAGTCTGATGATAGATAACGCAACATTTGTAACATGCAGATTGTGCATTACGAACGCTGTGTCGCCTTGAAAATAAATCAATATTAAAAATGTGTCCTCTGCTGTCACTTATGAGAAAAGAAAAGAAAGTTATACAAGCGTCTTGTCACGTTCGCCATCGTGACCGTTCAATGAACCTGTGAGTGTGAGTACCGGCGGTCTGAGCACTGTGAAGTATAGGACTCCGGAACGGGGGTTGGGGGGGGGGGGGAGGAGGGTATTGCTTAAAAAAAAAATATAAGATACACTCGGGGAAGGGATTTTGTTTTAAGGGGGGGGGGGGGGGGGGGGGAGCTGAAGGCGACGCTAGAGGTCAAAAACTTAACTTGGAAGCAAATTTTTTGTATTTAGAATTTAGAGAACTAGCTTACTATAAGAGCTCTCTGCAAAGTGCGCATTGGTGCAGGCCTTGTGTTGAATCGGGATCCATTATGCCTTGTTATTGAACTAAAGTGTTCGCGTTTCATTGGATGGGGTGATTGTAATTTATAAATTATATCTATATTTTAGCTTTCTATTCAAGATCGGCAGATTTTCAGTGTCACTGCATCCTGCCCTCCCTCAGTTCTTACACCTCTCGCACTGAGTAGGTCTACTTGAGCCATTCAAGTTATTACACTAATATTACTCTTCTTTGAGTTTGAGCAATAGTTTTCGTCTTCACGTTTATAATATGAATCACGACACCCAGACTGGTTTTTGACTGTCGATATTTTAGTTCTAGGTCTTTTCCCAGGCTCACAACAGGATTAATTTTTTAATAGGGCCTATAGTTTATGTAGGCTAATATGAGGAGGGGAAAACATAAATAAGAACAGACTGAAATACCAAAGTCACACAAGATCCCAGTGCCACACTGACACACTGTTGACTGGATATAGTGTACCTACGTGTGTGTGTGTGTGTGTGTTTGTATTCACAAATATATACATATTACTGTTAAATATAAATTGAGCATGTGCTGTCATTGTTATGTAACATGCCCCTGGAAAATAGATGAGGCTCCTCCCTTGGAAAATTGAGAAGCTGGGTTGGCAGTCACCCAGCATTATAATCATCTATTGTTTGAAGACTGTATTACAAAATGTACATTTGCATTCATTTAAAGACACTGACTTTTTATTATTGATAGATGGGCTTTTTGGGGGGATCATTTTTGACGCGCAGGGGCCTAATTTTTCCCTTGAATTGGGGTCTTGAAAAAATTTTTCAGGATTTGGTGGGGACCCTGTATCTATGTCACAGGTGCCTATTTTGCAGATAAATCTGGAAATCCGGATTCCTGAAATTGTCTTCATTTGCCCGACGGTTTATACTTTGATCTGTGTCTAAACCATATCTGGATTTGTAATTATTCCGGCCGGCAATTTTGACTCCCTACTTAACTTTTTTCTACCCGAGTCAACCTTTTCCAACCAGATGTCACTGACCAGAGAAAGTTTTCCAAGGAAATTTGTCTAGTTCTATTCCTTATTTGCTAACCCTTGTTCTATTCTTTATTTGTATTGTTCTATTCCTTATTTTGTATTATTCTGTTGTTTGTTTTGTTCTATTCCTTATTTATCTTGTTCTCTTCCGTATTTGTCTTGCTCTATTCCTTATTTGTATTGTTCTGTTCCTTATTTGTATTATATTCTGTTCCTTGTCTTGTTCTATTCATTTATCTTGTTTTCTTCCGTATTTATCTTGCTCTATTCCTGATTTGTATTGTTCTGTTCCTTATGTCTTGTTCTATTCCAAATTTGTATTGTTCTATTCCTTAATTGCTCTTGCTTGTTGTATTCTTTGTTTGCCCCCCCCCCCCTCCCCCTCCCGGGGTAGTGCTACTGACTATAGTGTCTTTTGGCCATTCCCAAAGGGGGGGACATTTCTCGATCAAGCATAGTAGAATTGTAAATGGGCTGACTCATCATGTCACGCTCATAATTGTGCCTGATCTACAACAGGGAATTGCTGCTTTTTTCTTTCCTAATCCTTACTATTGTCATTTTCCTCTACTTCTTTTGTATGTTTGTCACTCTCTTGTGACCCGTTATTTCCGGGGTGCCTTGATAGTCGAAGCAGACTTTGTGCTGTTGAAGCTAGAGAGGTGAGCAGAGTAAGTCTGATTCCCTGTAAAGACTTCTCTGTTAACATCCACCCCTTGGTGCTCATATGACCTTATGCAGTTGCGAGCACCGTAAAACCGTCTACTAAAAAAAATTTTTTTTTTATCTTGTTCTCTTCCGTATTGGTCTTACTCTATTCCTTATTTGTATTGTTCTATTCCTTATTTGTATTGTTCTATTCCTTATTTGTCTTGTTCTATCCCTTAATTTCCATGGCTTGTTGTATTCTTTGTTTGTCTTGTTCTGCTCCTTTTTTGTCTAGTTCTATTCTTTATTTATCTTGTTCTATTCCTGATTTGTCGTGTTCTGTTCTTTATTTGCTATGCCGTATTGTATTCTTTGTTTATCTTGTTCTGTTCCTTATTTTTCTTGATCTGTCCCTTGTTCCCTACTACGTTCTGTTCTATTCTCTATTCTCTATCTGATCCCTCTTTTTGTATACCTTAACTGATGGTATCTGCTTTATGCCATGCCCCCCCCTTTCAGGTGTATAAGGGTCACACAGATATGGTGCGGACTATCTCACCTGACCCGTCAGGACAGTGGCTAGTCTCAGGTGAGACAGGTGTTGTTGTGGGAAATGTTGTTCTCTGCTTTTGGAAGTGCGAGAGTTTTGTCTGTTGTGCTGGCATTGATATGTTAAAAAAAAAAAAATAAAAAAAAATGTGCATGTACAGTGGAAACCATATGTAACAGGCCCGGAAATAACAGGGATCCGGTAATAACAGGGTTTTTTAAAATCCCTGTTTTTTCCTACTCTTTGTTTCTATTAAAAGTTATCGGCAATAACAGGGCCTCATCGGAGCACAATCCGTTATAGCAGGGACAAAAGGTCGTTAACAATGTTTAAAAAGTAAGAGAGGAGAGAAAGAAAGAGAGAGTAACGCAGTGATGGAGCAAGCTCTCGCAAACCACGCCACTGCAAGCACACGCAGCGGGTGAAACGAGAGAGGGCTGCCGTGTGCTGCAGACTTCGATCTAGCCCTAAGCCTAGCTACACACAGGCCTGCCACATGGCCAAAACCCCTCTTCGTAGGTACTTGTGACAAGAGAAATTACCCATGAATAAATACAGCTGGTTAAGTAAATGCTTACTTCTCTTGCATTTCTGATTTAACCGGGATCGGATATAACTGGACTTTTTCTTTGGTCCCAATCTCCCTGTTATATCAGGTTTCCACTGTGCATGTTTGTGTGTGATGGGGGTGGGGGGTTGGGAGAGGGGATGTGAATGAGGGGGAGGGAGAGGGATGGGGAGGGAGAGGGGAGACATAGAGAGAAAGAGAGATTGATTGATTTCTGTCCATGTAGGATGCACATCTTTGCAGCCTGTTATATGCATATGGCTACTATTATTCTCACTGGCCTGATAAAGCACATGATGGTGGGTGGTTGGCGGGTGGTCTGGTGTGGTTTGTTTCTTCTTTCCTATCAAACATCTATCATCCTTATCTCCCCTTCTTTTTTATGTTTGTTACTCTCTTGCAACACCTCTAATCTTCTGGCACTCATATGACCTTATGCAGTTGCGAGCACCATAAAACGTCTGCTAAAACTAAAAGCACATGATTCATGAGTACTGAGTTGTTGAGTGGTGCTCAAATGAAGCCTAATGTTACTTTTTGAGTTGTACTGAAGATATTCTTCCTCCTCCCCCCCCTCCTCTCCAGGTTCTGATGACCAGACAGTCAAACTGTGGGAGGTCGCCACGGGACGCTGCATGAAGACGCTGGACATGGGTGGGAAGGTCACCGCTGTATTGTGGAACCCGAACCGGACCGTGAACCTCATAGCAGCTGTCGTGTGAGTTGTTGGAGCATGCACATTATTAAGAGTTTGATAAGAAAAGTGTAAAGATACATTTGTTCAACACTATCCTCTGACATTAAATTTTATGTCTGAGAATGTGTGTAGGACTGAGAGTAGTGTGTGTGTATATGTGTGTTTTTAAATGGTATATCAATTACAATGTGCATTTTCTGTTCTTTGATTCGTCGAGTGATAATTCTGTGCTTACAACTTTCTGGGAATAGATGTCATTTGAATTATTATTATTAATATTATTATTATTATTATTATTATTATTATTATTATTATTATTATTATTATTATTTGTTTTCTGAAAGTGTAAATGATTTCTCTGGTATTATTCCTCCAAAATAGCTTTAATAAACTTTTCACACTGTTAATAATAACTGCATGAATGAATACGTCACACACACTACTTACGCTCAATTTACACATTACACACACACACATTTTATTGAGTATCTCCGTCTGTCAGCTGCGATGTTGAAGCCCATACAGCCACGCTTAGCCCTGACTGGCAGGGTTGGAGTGTCCCATCTCCTTAATAATCTGTGAGGTATTGTGGCGAAATCAGGCGCTCGTCAAAATAATGAAATTGAAACAAACAGCATTTTACTGTCAGTTTGGCTATTATTATAATCAACTTTTTCTTTTCTAGCTCAATCCATTTAAGAAGAACACATTTCTGTGTGAATTTTACTACAAAATGTTGATTAAAAGCTCAAAACTGTAAATTTTCAGTCTCCAAGGACTCTCAGGCTATGGAAATTACCAAACTTTAGCTGCCATTTTCTCATTAACTTTACCTCTGAAACCAGGTGACCCCCACACCCACCTTCTTCCATTGCAAATATCTCAACTTCTATTAAAGATAGATGAGTATTTACGTCAGCGAAAGCGGGGCAAATGGAAAAGCTTTTAGATAATACCAATAACTCCATATCGTCGGCCTGGTGATAAAACCGACTAACCCACAAAATATAAAAAAATTTTTTATTGGCCCTATCGATAGTAAATTGTCCATTTCATATGCTCACTCGAAGACAGATCTGAATTTTTTTCTAGAAATTTCTTTAAAACATTAGAAATAAAACCGTATAACCCGGCACCCATCATATTTTAGCCCGATAATTCCGACTATCCCACCTGCGAGGGACGGAATGAGGGTTGGCTATTTTTATCGCGCTAACAATAAGGGGCCACTTGCTATGTTACCGACTAACCCCGGCTTCGACTCCTCTCCGGACTTCGTTTGACATCAGATTCAGACCTGTAATAGTCCAGAATTTGCTCACATAACCGTAGGAGCTCTCCAAAAAGGAATATTTGTGTAATATTTCTTGTTGGTTTCATCTGGGAGTTATGTATAGATCTGGTTGTTTCCTCTTTTTTCTTCCCCACTGTTCCCACAGAACTGTTTATCTCGTGACAATTCCGGTATTTGAAATGCATCTTTATGGATTTTGTTTTATATGAAACTATGTTTTCTGTCCGCATGTTTTTCTTTGTCTTTGTACTCGAAATTTCCCCTATTCGGACTACTGTCTCTTCTCCTAATCATTTTTCCTTCACAATTGAATGGACGAAGTAGATAGCATTTCCTCCTTTACTAACTCACTCCAAAAGAAATAATTGTGGGACCTGTCCAGCACACCGTCTGCCCCCAATGATCGTTGTTTTTTAAAGTGCTTTTTCTTTTTTTTTCATTTGCTGTGTTTATTGCAGTCATTACCTATTTCGTTTGTGTTTTGAGTAGATTATTTTCTCAGAGTCATAACCTAATGCTTTATCTTGATATCAAACCTTAGCTTACATAACACTATAACATTCAATAAGATGATGTCACGCTTGCTGCGTCACGTCTGACCCTCAGGGCAGTGGAAAATGATCAACGTGACCAGGCTAATGTCACATCAGCTGATATTACAACAGTTATGTCACCTTTGATCTCTGCGAAAAGGACACTGCATGAAAACGATTGGAAGGGTAACAAAAGGTAGAGGTTGAAAGAACTGGGGATGCTTCTACCCATGTCAAGGCACGAAGCGAGCAGGAACTTGACGTCCTTTGCAGTTGTAAACTGGTTGGTACAAAATGCAATGACATCACTGGTCACTCTCTTGGAAAGAAAAGAGAGCATACGTATATGCCACGATAAACATGATAGACAAAAAGAGATCTTACCCAGCAAGGGAAAACCCAAGGAGAAATTACAGCCTTGAATACCACTTACAAGA